TGTCTCCTAGTGGCCTCCTTGGGAACTAGGCACACACATAAACACATACAGGCAAAGCATTCATACACATTTGTTGTTGTTGAAGTAGGGGCTCCCATCTGCTACACACACACACACACACACACACACACGCAAATTGGGATTAAAGGCATATACCAGCATGCTCAGCTAGAATATGTGGGATTTTTGTTGTTGTTTTGAGATAAGATCTCTTCTATTAACTGTGGAGTTTGCTATGTAGACCAGTTTGCCTTTGAATCTGCAGAGATCCACCTGCCTCTGCCTCCCAGGTTCTGATGTTAAAAAGAGTGCAACACCACATCTGATAATTTAAAAAGGAAGCTGGTATCACACCCTTATCAAATTAGCCAGAGTGTAACAGCACACTCTGCTGATGTTGGAGGAAGTGGCACACATCAGGACTCTGAGGAAACCAGAGGGTGACACATGGTAAATAAAGCACTTAGTACTGCACAAGCATGTGTCCCTGAGTCTGTCCCCTGCACAGGTGGACTCTTGTAATCTCTGTTAGCTGAGCTCCATGTTTGGTCACTGAATGTTGATCCCTGGCCACCACCACACCCAGCCATGGTTTTATTTTTGTTTGTTTTGTTTTGTTTTTGGTTGCTTTTATTTTTATTGTTTGAGATAGGCCCTAGTTGTCTTTGAACTCTGTATAAGAATGAGCCTCTGCCAACCAAATTTGGGTTTTAAGGTGTGTGTAGCTCTGACTACGCTGGAACTCACTCTGTAGACCAGGCTGGCCTTGAACTCATGGAGATAGATATCTCTGCCTCAGCCTCCTGAGTACTAGGATTAAAGAAATAAGCCACCATGCCCGGCCAAGCATTTGTTTTTAATGTAGACATTTGGAAATACATATTTTATGCCATCAGTAGCATTTATCTGTTTCCCGTGTGTGCTTTTGCTTTTCTTCCTTCTCCACTGTAGGCTTCTTAAGACTGTTCTCAAAGATCAGAGTACGTAAGAGATGAGATTGCAAGAGGCCAGCAGGGAGTGCACCTGAGTTCCACCCCTAGAGCCAGTGGTAGAAAGGGAGGGAACACTAGATCTCTTGCAACTTGTTCTCTGAACCCCAGCTTATGAGCTGTGTTACACACATACAGAAATTAATAAATGTAATTAAAAACAGGCAGAAGCAGGTTTGAAACTAGCCTGGTTTACATAGTGAGTTCCCGGTAGAAAAGTTGCTTCCCTGGTCATGGCATATTTGTTTGGGGTGGGTTTGTATTTGGCTGTTTTTGTACTGTTGGAAATTATATTGCAGGCATGCCACCAGCACCTGACTGCACTGAACTCACACATGTCTGAGTCAAATGTCTGAGCCAAGTAGCTGTCAGATGCTTTGCTGGACGCCTGTCCAGACCTGCATTCCCAGTCATGTGGGTTTTAAAAATACCCAAGTGCACAGTTGAGAGCTGGCTTCTGAGAACTGTGAAAACATCAGGAGTTTAAAAGAGTGGTCCTGGGGGAGATCTCTATGAAGAACCTTCCTCCACTAGCATTAGACCCAACTAAAGTCTTTCTGTTCTACACCACTGTATGTGCTGGGGACCACACCCCATCTCCATGCTAGGCAGAGGCCCCACCTGGGGATCACACCCTGCCTCCATGCTAGCAGACACCCCCCCACCTGGGAATCACACCCTGCCTCCATGCTAGGCAGAGACCCCCACCTGGGGACCACACCCCATCTCCATGCTAGGCAGACAACCACACCTGAGCTGTTCTACAGTTCTGAAATCCTTTTTTGTTTTCTTCATTGTTGTTTTGGACAGGGTGACCCAGGTTGTCCTCAAACTCAAGAGAGTCCTCCTGCCTCAGTCTCCAAGTGCAAGAATTACAGACATGAGTCATTATGCCTGGCTTCTGAAATGTGTTTAAGGGCATTTCCTCTAAGAAACTACTAAGTCCCGGTTTTTAAAACAGATAAAGGAATGTTTCTGTTGTTTGGGTTTGTGTACTTGCTTGTTTGAGATAAAATCTCACCGTGTAGCCCTGGCTATCCTGAAACACTCTGTAGACCAGGCTGACCTCTAGGTCACAGGTCTGCCTGCCTTTCCTCCCTGCCAGGATTGATGGCATGAACCACCACGCCTGGTGTGTCTCTACTTGCACTTGGAGAATGATGGTAGACTCACTTTAGATAGGCTTCTGTCAAGTGGATGGATACCCAGTTAATTTAAAAGTATAGGTGACAGCATTATTTGAATTATGCTATACTTCATAAGAATGCATTCATCATTCTGAAAAAAAAAAATGCTTTTTTTCTATTTCCATCCTCTTCTGACTCAGTGTGTGCACAGACTGCTGTGGTTACATTCGGAGTGGTTCAGGCCATGAGTGCTCCTCCAGCATGCATTGGTTTCATCCCCTAACCACGAAAATGAGGGTATCATGCCCATAACCCAGCATTGGGAGATAAGACAGAAGGGTTAGAGTTCAGGATTATCTCAGCTCTACAGGAAGATAAAGACTAGCCTAGACTACATGAGTCATTGACTAAAAAAGAAAAACAAAGTTATTGTTTGCATTGTCAGAATTGTACATTGAGGGGCTGGGGTAGCAGCACTGGAATTAAGAGCACTGTTGGGCTTGCAGAGAAAACCAGGTTACAGGTTCCCAGTACCCATGTGGCAGCTCACAGCAGTCTGTGTAGTAACTCCAATTCCAGGATGTGATGCTTTTTCTAACCTCTGCAGGCACTAGGCATGTACGTGGTTCAAAGATGTGCAGGAAAATATTCATATACATAAAAGTAAAGTTGCTGGACATTGGTGGGGCGTGCACCTTTAATCCCAGCACTCAGGGTTGGGGGGGGGGAAAGAGGGGGAGGTAGAGGCAGACAGATCTCTGAGTTTGAAGCCAGCCTGGCCTACAGAGCGAGTTCCAGGACAGCTTCCAAAGCTACACAGAGAAACCCTGCCTCAAAAAAACAAAAACAAAAAAATAAAAAAGGAAAGAAGCCTTTACACTATTTCCATCACAGACTAATTTGTCATTGTGATGTTGGAGGCCATTTGAAGAAACATGCACATTAGCTAGATTGCAGCTGCTGGAAAGAGCATACTGCACAATGGGAGCAGTGTCTTCTGTGACCAGTAGGCCTCATAGGCCTTACCTATGGAGGCCAGTGGCAGAAACTCAAGTGATCATGGCCAGAGGTGACATGTGTTCATGCTGCTGGGATCAGAGCTAGCTGGCTTTCTAGTTGGATGTGCAAGAGCACAGCTTTGCTCGGGCCACTCCCTGGCTAGCTCATGCACTAGCTGACTTGAGAATGTGAGGCGGTCCTCTTCACCTTACCAAGAGCCTCAAAGGTGAGTGGATATAACAGACCTGCGGATTCCTTGAGAGGTAACAGATTAATTTCAAAATACAAGTCTTTTTTTTTTTTTTTTTTTTTTTTAATGACAGTGTTTTTCTATGTAAAGCTAGTTGTCATAGAACTCCCTCTGTAGAGGAAGCTGGCCTCACAGAGATCCACCTGCCTCTGCCTCCGCCCCCCCCCCCAGCTAGAATTAAAGGCTTGCACCACCACACCTGCTGGAATCTAATCCTTTACTTACATCAGTCTCTTTGTTTCTCTTATTGTCTCTTAAGAATTGTCGTGGCAGTGGTAATGCCACCTCTAATCCCATCAAAGGAAGGTGCATCTCTGTGAGCCTAGGCTACAGTGAGACATTGTCTTAAATTACAAAAGAAAAAAAGTTTCCAAAAAGAAAACAAACAGTTTCTAAATCAAGCCTTTAACCCCAGCACTCAGGAAGCAGAGGCAAGTGGACATCTGAGTTAGAGGCCAGCCTGGTCTTCATGGGTTCTCAGACAGCCAGGGCCACACAGAGAAACCCATCTGGATTATTTTTGAAAACGAGGCTAGAGAGCTGACACAGCAGTTAAGAGCACACGCTCTCCTGATGACCCGGGTTTGGTTCTCAACACTCAGGTTTCGTGACTCAACCTCTTGATGCTCCTGTTTCAGGGAATCCAGTGTCCCTTTCAGTGAATAAATAACTTTAAAGAGGGGAAAGCATGGAAACCAAAGTATACATGATGGAATGGAGATGAGAAGAACAGTTAGATGTGAGAACTACCCTGGACATGGGAAAGCCATGTCCAGGAATGCATTGAGGTGCCACTAGCAATCAGACAGGCCTTGGACAGGAAGAACATGCAATGAGAAGGTAGAAATAGCCATGCAGATGCTCTCTCCCTATTTCTCCATCATGGTAAATCTGTCGTGACATGTCACTGGGAGTACTGTATGTTGATGGTTTCATTGGCTGACTGTGGGTCCTTGGGTTTTTCAACTCTGCTGCAGTCTTTTGCACACAGACAGCCAAGGGCTTGTCAGTTAAGGCTCTAGTCAGGGACCATGTTTGTACCCCAGCCTGGGCATTGCTGGCCCTCTGACCCTCTGCCACCCACCTTGTTTCCTGGCTCAGCATATATTTGTTGCATGAATAAATAGGTGTTTTAACAGGGCTGGAGAGATGGCTTAGAGGTTAAGAGCACTGACTGCTCTTCAAGAGGTCCTGAGTTCAATTCCCAGCAACCACATGGTGGTTCACAACCACCTATCATGAGATCTGGTGCCCTCTTCTGGGCTTCAGGGATACACACACATAATGTTGCGTACATAATAAATAAATAAATAAATAAATAAATAAATAAATCTTTTTTTTTTTTTTAAAAAAATGGGTGAATTAATACCTCAGAATGTTTTAGTATAGCTGTTTGCAAAGCTCTTCAGTAGTGTGTCTTCCTCTAGTGTGCCTTGTTGTGACCATTCTGTGTGTGACATACAGGAAATCTAGGTGTAAATGAGCTCACAGGCCTGAGTGGGCGAGGTGTGAATGTGTGTGTGTGTGAGAGAGTGTGTGTGTGCGCGCGCACGTGTCCTAACATGGGAGTTGAAGATCTTCTGGAAAGAGCAGCATGCAGTGTAACTATGTCATTTTTCTTTCTCTGTCTTTCAGGCTGGAGTAAAAGGGACCTTAGGAAGGTTGGTTGGAATTTTTGAGGTAAGTTTGTTACTACCTTTGCTCTGGACTCAGTAATTAGCCAGGTTGTCCTGATTTTAGAAGGGCATCTCCCTGAGTGTCAGAACAGGCAGCAGGGCAGACTAGCATTCTCTTTTTACTGGTTTGTGTTTATGTGGATGCATGTGTCTGTGGAGGCCTGGGGATGACTTCACGTGTCATTCCTTAGAGGCCATCTAGCTTTTTAGTTTTTTTGTTTTGTTGTTTTGTTTTTGAGGAAGGGCCTCTTACCGGTCTGGAGCTCATTGATAGGCTGGTTTGAACCAGGAGTCCCCTGTTCTTACCTTCCCAGGCTGATATTACAGGCTTAACCTCTATGCCCAGCTTAATTTGGACTCCAGGCATATACAGAGTATTGTTTATCTCCTTCCTGATGTCTCTCCTGTTCTTATAAGGTGAGGGGAAAAGTAGAATAGAAAAGATGGGAAGAGTGGATGTGAAAGGAGGTCAGGAAGTGAGAGAGAGAGACAGGAGTAGAGAGGACGGCAGGCCTCACTCAGCTTGCATGGTGGCCCTGATACATAGCCTATACACTCCCAAGTACATCGTTCCTGTGGAGTTGTAGTTAGGAGAAGAAGGAAGGGTGCAAAGTTTAGACTTGAAGAGTCTGGCCATGAGCTGAACAGGTGGCTCAGCCATCAAGAGTGTTTGCCAACAGGCATGGTGGTGCACTCATAAGGCACCATAACCCCAGCACTCATAAGGAAGACACTTAGGGATCTCTGTGAGTTCAAGGCCAGTCTGGTCTACAGAGTGAATTCCAGGATACCCAGTACTATATAGAAGAGAGGCCCTATTTTTAAAAACAAGAAAGAAAAAAAAAAAACAAAAAAAAAAAACTTGTTAATTGGTCATGGTGGCATGCCCTTTAACCTCTGTACCACCTGGGAGACACAGGCAGCAAGAGGATCTGTGAGTTCAAGGCCAGCCTAGTCTACATAGCAATTTCCAGGCCAGCCAGGGCTACATAGTGAAACCCTGTCTCAAAAAAAAAAAAAAAAATTTGCACCAGCTGGTGGTGGCACATGCTTTTAATCCCAGCACTTGGGAGGCAGAGACAGACAAATCTCTGAGTTCAAAGCCAGCCTGTTTTACAGAGTGGGTCCAGGACAGGCTCCAAAGATACACAGAGAAACCCTATATCAAAAAACAAACAAATTGCTGTTCAATTCTCAGCATCCATGTCTGGTAGCTACCTCTAACTCCAGCTCCAGAAAATCAGACACCTTTTGACCTTCATGGGTATGTGTGAATATGCTCTCCCTCCCTCTCTCTCTTTCTCATATGTGTGAGTGCTCTCTCTCTCTCTTACACACACACACACACACACACACACACACACACACACACACACACACACACACACACACTCAGTCAGTCCAAAGGTGTACTCTATTCTGGTGGAGCCCTGTTGAAACACAACAGCAAAAGCAGAGGGCATTGTATAACAATGTTTCTTCTTCAAGCATCTCAACCCACTAAGGAGAGCTCTCCCTCTGTCCTTTCTGTGCCCTTCAGAACCAGGAGAGGAAGCACAGGACTTACGTGTATGTGCTTATTGTCACAGAAGTGCTGGAAGACTGGGAAGACTCCGTGAACATTGGTAAGTCACACTACAGGACCAGCCTGCTGTGTTCAGACACTGCCCTGTGGCTGGCTGGGGAAGATGCTAGAGTGTGTGCTAAGTAAGCAAGCATGTGCATCTTGAAGCTGAGGAAGGTAGCATTTGAGGTGTCTAAGAAGAAGCTGAGGCCAGGCAATGGTGGTGCACACCTTTAATCCCAGCACATGGGAGACTGAGGCAGGAGGATCTTTGTGAGTTCAAGGCCAGCCTGCTCGTGGAGTGAGTTCCAGAAATGCCAGGGCTACACAAAGAATCCTTTCTTGAACACACACCCCCCAATTAAAAAAAAAAAAGAAAGAAAGAAAGAAACAGCAACAGCTGAGGTTGGGATTGTTTCTAAAATAAAATTGGATCCTCCCCAAGGTCTGTACTCTGCTATACCTTTTGAACAGATACTGACCTGGGCCTGGACCAAAGATGAGAGCAAGATGCAGTCTTGGGTCTTAAAGGACTGTTATTCGTACACTGGGCTGGGGTGTACAGAAGCAGAGGGCCTGGATTCCATCCCCAGCATCACACAAACATTCAGGAAAATTAATCAGGGGTGCAGGGATGAAAAGATCAAGGTGGGTTTGTTATGTACCTGTCCTTGCCACAGCCTGGCAGAGCCACACCTGGGTTTTAACCCATTATTGCTCATTAGTGCCCATGCAATCCTTTTCGTCACTTCTTAGCATTGCTCACTAGTAATTCCAGTGAAGGCATCTAAAGCATTGGAAGTGGCCATTTTGGGAAACAATCCAGCAGCAGAGCTATGGAAGGCCAGTCCTTCCTTGGGGCAGCCTCAGGCCCTGAGTCCTTTCCTGGGAAGTTAAAATAGCAGCTAAGTATCTTTTCTCAGGGACTAAGGATTTAGCTCAGTGTTGGGGATTTGCCCATCACACACAGGGGCCAGCCAGCTGGGGTCCATCTACATACATACAGCCTGTCTATGTAGAGAGATAGATGTAGACATAGATGTAAATAAAAACCATGTCACCAGGTGGTGGTGGTGCACGCCTGTAATCCCAGCACTCGGAAGGCAGAGACTGGTGGATCTCAGAGTTTGAGACCAGCCAGGTCAACAGAGATGGCCAGGGCTACACAGAGAAACCCTGTCTCAAAAAAAAAAGTAAATGAAAGAACAAACTACAATGTTAAAAAACAACCTTTGAGGAACTGGAGACTGGAGAGCTGGCTCAGTGTTTAAGAGCACTGGCTGCTCTTCCAGGGTTCAGATTCCCAGCACCACATGGTGGCTCACAGCCCTCTGTGGCTCCAGGTTCAGGGATTCTGATTCCCTCTTCTGGACTTTACAGATACCAGGTATACATGCAGTTACACATAAAATAGGTAAATCTGAAAAGAAAAGGGCAGACTCCTGTCAGGGACTGGGTGCTAGGTGTCACTGAGGGGCTTTCTGTAACTGATCTTCAGAGGAGATCCGGGGCTGAGTCCTGCTTATTATCCACCTTACAGATGAAGAGTCGAATACTGAAGGGTCTGTGACTTGGCCAGTGCTCCTCAGTTTGTTGGAGCCAGTGATCTGCTGGGGTATAGCACACTGACTTCATGGCCTTGCTCCTGGCCTTGAGGCTGTATTTTATCTATTTTTTGCACTGTTGGAAGTAGAAGCCCAGACCTCACACTTTAGTGTCCACTCATTGAGCTCTTTCCATCTCAGCTTCTCCATTTTGAAGCAATTGTATTTTCTTGCCCACAGAGCCAGAAGAGGGTATTTATAGGAGGAAAGTAGGCCAGTCACGGTGGCTTACCCTTTAGTATTAACACTCTGGAGGCAAAGGCAGGATGATCTCTATGAGTTTTGGGCCAGCCAGTCTACAAAGCAGGTTCCAGAAAGACACCAGGGCTACATAGAAAAGACCACACCTCAATAAAATAAAACATCAATTTTAATAAAAGTAGGCTCAAAAAGGTAGTTTGGTAAATTGTGTGAGTTTTGTTTTCTCTTTTTTCTATATTTGCATGTGTGTTGTATGTGCATGTGGGTGAACTCTTTATTGTTTGTTTTTGTTTTTTTGAGACAAGATTTCGCTCTGTAACCCTGGCTGTGTAGACCAGGTTGGCTTTCAACTCACAGTGATCCACCTGCCTCTGCCTCCTAAGTGCTGGATTAAAGGTGTGTGCCACCACTGCCTGCCATGTGGGTGCACTGTTGCCATGCATGCACATGGAGTCAGAGAACAGCTCTGTGGAATCAGTTCTCGTCTTCGTTTTTATAGTTTCAGAGCCTGAACTCAGGTCACCAGGCCTGCACCATTACCCCTTATTTCCTGTGACAGATCCATCACTTACACATTTTTTAAATAAAAGGAGGATAATAGCAAATTTTAAGTCTAGCATCACAATCATGCTGGCAGGCCTGTGTAGTTTTGCCAAAGATGAGGAGGATGGAACCCTCCTTGAAAGTATAGGCTGATGTGCTCAGACCCCTGGAAGGGCTGGTCTCCCAAAGTCAGCTCTGTAGGACATTTGGATTGTGTGGAGCACTGGCTTTACTTGTGTAAGGAAATGAAAGCATTGAGCAGCTTTGGACATGGGGTTGAGGGAGGCTCTCTGTAGCCTACCTAGGCTGGCCTTGGGTTCCCTGGGTAGCCAAGCACGACCTTTAGTCCCTGTTCCTCCTGCTTTTGCCTCCAGAGTGCTGGAATCACAGGGACCACAGCAGCCATGAAGCCTGGCTGGAATGTTCCCCCCAAATCCTCTCAGAACTGTGCTCAATGTCTGCAGCTTGTCTTCATGTCTCCCTCTGCCTCCACAGGAAGGAAGAGAGAGTGGTTTAAAATAGAAGATGCCATCAAAGTGCTACAATGTCACAAGCCTGTGCAGGCATCCTACTTTGAGGCGCTGAGGCAAGGCTACTCTGCCAACAACGGCACCCCTGTCGTGGCCACCTCATACTCCACTTCCGTGTCAGGCATCAGATGACTGCAGACTTGCTGTAAGAGCCAGAGAGTGGAAACCAGACTGAAGTGTGGCTCTCCTCACCACTCCCTCACCCTCCTCACAGCCTCCTCTTTGACCCAGGCATGGTGGGCAACAGAGAGGGGTACACTGAGGCGCTGCTGGGTTGTGGAGTGATGTGGGTGGTGTGTGGGGTGATGGGAACTTCTTTCTCTTTTTCCTGAGGGTGGGACTGGGATGTAACTCACGAGTACTTTCCTGCATGCTCCATTCCTCCCTCCCTCACCCTGCCCCCTGAGAGAGGAACCCTGTTCTCCCTCCCATTTTGGGTTCTGAAGCGTTCCCATTTGCCTCATCCCAGCCTAGCCAGGTATTTTCTCTAAATTTTTTTTTTTTTTTCATTAAAAGACACCCATGTGAGATGAAACCTTGTAGGAATCTGTCCTGTGATATGCTGTTGAGGCCCAAGGGGTAGCCATGTCCCTCAGGATGCATTTGTCTACACAAACAGGATATGTGTAAATGAGAGATTTAGAAAGAACATCTTGACTGTTTAGTTTTTGCAGAGTTTTGCTTTTCTTTTTCTTTTATTTTTTATCCTGGGTATTTCTAGTTTAAGACCCCTCACACTTTACATGTTTGTTTCAATGCTGGTGACTGGGCAGGCTTCCCTGTCCTCTATTCCCCAGCCACGGTGAGCTTAGCCATCTTCCTTTGCTCCTGGGACCCTAGCCTTCTTGAAGGCTGTTTCCATACCAAGGAACCTGTTTTCTTTTCTGTTACCAAGCCTGGAGCAAATGGCCTCAGCCAGAGCCAAAGAAAGTGCTAGAAATTGAATTCTGCTGACTGATGTGTGTTCACAGTAGGCTTTAAACTGGATACCTTCCCTGTCTTAGAAACTGGACCATCACGCACCATGTCTGTCCTGCTGCCTGGGAATTTTTTCCTTAACGCTGTTCATTGCTGACATGGCCCTTACCCTTGTATGCCTTACACCACTCTGACCTGGATATGACCCAATGCTCTGAAGCCATCCTGCACAGACCTGTCCCTGTGCTGAGGCCCCACTGAGACCCTGAGAAGGACACAGGGAAAGTGTACCTGTGTCTCTGAGGTCGGAGCATGTGCCAATGGTTGCACACTAGCTTGCTGTCTGCCCCTGTAAAAGGTCATCTGTAGGAGGGGCTCACTTTGTGACCCTCTGGCTTGCTAAAGGCTCCTGTTGGTGTTTTGTGCTGAACTTTTCTACCAGTTGTGGTGTTTAGTTGAGAAATAAAAGGTCTTGGACAAGACCTTGAACAAGGAGGGTGGGAAGGAGCTGATGCCTGGTTTAGTGTGGGCTCGGGACTCTGGCATTGCCTGTTTGAAACGTAGCCAAGATGTGAAATTAAAACAGTACTTCTCTTTATTTAAAAACTAATAAATACTCAAACTTTGAAAAGCTTTTACTCTTTCGTTGCACTTGAGGAATATGTGTGAGCCTGAGCCATCAACATTCAACACTTTTTGGATATCACCTGGTAAACTTTAAATCTTTCATGTATCTAATTTGCATCTTGTCCCCCAATTTTGACACCACACAGATCCAACTCAGTGTGGGTGGGTGGGTGGGTGGGTGGGTGAGGTCATGGACTCTCTCAGACCTGTGAGACAGAAATGGCCTCCCAGGGGAGGGGTCCAGAGGGTAGAGCTAGCACCATGAGATTTGAATCTAGAGACCAACTTGCTGGACCACTTGTAGACAAACACTCTGCTGTTTGTTGCCTGGCTTAGAGTCTCGTCCACACACACACAGAGAAAACGTATTCCCAAACCATGTCGTTTGGGTGCCCAGCAGTGGAGCTTGCTCTGCTGGGAACTGTACTCCACAGCTGTGCTGACTGGGCTGCTACTCCAATAACCCATCCCCAAAGGCTGCTTTTGAATGCTCTTAGAATCACTGGGTCAGAAAGTGAACTGTGCCTCTTCAGTGGCATCAATGGTCCTGTTGGAGTGGTTAGCAGTCACCACCAGTTAATGGAAGCCAGCTCTGAATAACCCCACTGTCAGGGTTCTGGTGCTTTCCTGTGCCCTGAGGAGGAAGGCCGACCTTTTCCCTCCTGACACCAGCCACACACTGGCTGTTGCTGCTGGCATAGTTGGAGGCCTTTTGTGATAGATTGTTAGAGCCATAGCCTTTAACTTGGTGTAGAGGGTAGAAAGAAGAAAGTAAAAACAAGACTAAACTACCTGGGATCCAGACTGTCACAGACATGGAGTCACCACAAATTTTCCTATGCTTGCTTCTTCTAGGCTTTATAGGAATAGGTTCCTGTGCTCAGTGTCTGGTCACAGAATTGCATTTTCTAGATTCTATTGCTACTGAAATACCCATTAGAGTCAACCAAACTTGGGATAGAAAATGATGGCATATTTGTTTGTTTGGTTGTGTTTTTGAGACAGGGTTTCTCTGTAGTCCCTGGCTTCCTGGAACTCACTCTGTAGAGCATGCGGGCCTCGAATTCACAGAGATCTCTCCCATGAGTACTGGAATTAAAGGCATGTGCCACCATTTCCTGGCTGTGCAAAAAAAAAAAAAAAAAAAAAAAAAAAAAAAGGCTTCTTTATGATTTTTAAACATTGAGGAAACACCACTGAAGTCTTACGATCCTTTTTGAGCCAGGAATTAACTTTGCATGTCTGATATGAGAACAAGCAAGAAGCCAGGCATAGTTTTACCCCAGGTTAATGAGTATAATCTCAACATTTGGGGGCTAAGGCAGAAGTGACTCAGACAAAGAGTCCTATTGGACAACAGTTTGGTTTCTGCAGTGTGCTCCTGCTCAGTCAGTGCTGCCCGGAGAAAGCCCCTTGTCACCTTACCTGGATGAACACTGTGGGCATGTCACTGCCTGGGAGGCAGCTGAACGCCTAGAATCTGGGCACAGAGGACTTCTGGCCTCTGCCTTGTGCTGTATAGTCCCCACAACAGGGAGGCCACTAGAGGCCTTGCTTCCTGCAGTGCCAGGGACCATGGGCCACTGCACCCAGGAGTGGTCAGAGTAGTTTATAAAAGTCGCTGCATAGCCAAGTTCCTTGGTAGCAAAGAGATAGTGTGTGGATCAGGAGTTGGCCTACAGACCTCAGCTTGCTGGGGCGGAAAGGCTGGCTCTCAGGGAAAGCCTGGCTGCCCTCCGACCTCCTTTCTCCTCTGGTGCAGTACCCGTTAGGGGCTAGGCTCTTGCTCACCCTGCTGCCCTGTGTCTGGCAATGCTGTCCTTCATTCATTTCTATTTCATCCAGGCACATGCCTAGAGTCCCATCTCCATTCTAAAAATAGCTCAGCATGAGCTACATGCCCATCCTGGGTCACAGAAAGACCTGAAGGAGCACTGATTTTTTCCCCCCCCAGCCTGAGACAGTTTCTCTATGTAGCCCTGGCTGTCCTAGAACTCGATCTGTAGACCATGCTGGCCTTGAACTCAGAGATCCATCCACCTGTCTCTGCCTCCTGAGTGCTGGGTTTTTTAAGGCATGACCATCCCCCACCCCCTGTTAAACAGTGTGGTTTGTGTTGCAGTGGACTGATTTTGCTATTTTTGAAGTGTACTCTGAGTGTGTCCTCATCAAGATAAGATTTAGAATTAAAGGGGAAATACCTGAAGAAAAAATTTTTGAGGAAAAGGAGAAATGGCTGTATTTGACAAATTTTCTTCTTGACAAAGGTGGGCGGGAGCAGGATGGTGCAGCCAGACAGCATGGGGGAACACAGAAGCCATGTGGCTCTTTCCAAAGGTATATCTGCCCTCTTCTTCACCTTGTGTGGGGCCAGCCTCCTCTGGCAGCCATGATGGCCCAGTAGTGACCTCCCTGTCATTTGGAATGTGCAGGAGCAGAGCCCAGTGTCCAGAAAGCTCTGTTTCCATTTCACATTGTACTGTTGAGAGAGGCTGACTGACATGTAAGGGTGTCCCTAACCCACTCTCTGCAGCTTTGTGTTGTGACTGTGGGTTGGTGCTAACCCAGAAACCTGTTAGCCGAGTGCTAGAAGAGTGGGAGATGCCTTCTTTTCCATCTGTGGTGTTTGGGTGGGTGCACTGCCTGAATTGAGTTTGGCCATCTCTGACATGAAGCTTTGTAAGAGAGTTCTGTCCCTGAAGCTCCCTGTACAGTGATGATTCAGGGAACACTAGCTTGGCTTAGATATTGCCTGTGCCCTAGGAAGGAGAGCCCAGTGGGAAGACTGCTCTCTCACCAGCCACAGGGCCTCTGCTCTTCCCTGATGGTCAGTTGTCAACCCAGGTTTTTATCATAACTTACAGAGAACCAGTTTTGAGCCCTAACACCTGACTTATTACACACCACTGGGAAGGACCTCTATTTTATTTACTTTAGTTTTTCCAGACAGGGTTTCTTTGGCTGTCCTAGACCAGGCTGGCCTTGAACTCAGAAAGACCTGCCTCTGCCTCTTGAGTGCTGGGATTAAGGGTGAGCTGACTTTAGAGTAGTATTTCTAACTGAGTGGAGAAAAGGATGAGTCTCAGTCTGGCTGTTAGGCCTTCATTCCTATGAAGTGGTTCCTTATAGGAAATCTTTGTGCCTGCAAACTCCTGCTGGCCATTTCTTGATTTGAGCTGTGTTTCTGGTTCTTTGGCCTTGAATTCAACAATCTAAGCCACTAAAGGGTCAGTAGCTTCCCCAACTCTGCATGGTGAGAAGCTCTTCAGGACTAACCGAGCCCAGGTTATCATTCCTTCTGGGATGGAGAGACTAGTCACTAGTGAGAAGGCATGAGTGTGGATTACTCTTTGCCTTCAGTTTTTGTTTTTTTATTTTTCGAGACAAGGTTTCTCTGTGTCATCCTGGCTGTCCAGGAATTCAACTCCAGCCTGGTCTGCAGAGCAAGTTCTAGGACAGGCTCCAAAGAAATACAGAGAAACCCTGTCTCAAAAAACCAAAAAAAGAAAAAATTAACTAATGAAGAGATCACCTGCCTGCCTATGCCTCTCGAGTACTGGGATTAAAGGCATATACCACCCACACCCAGCTCTTTGTTTTGGGTTTTTTTTTTAGGGGGGGGTTGTGGGGGTGATGCCTACAGTTTTAGAGGCCAGATTTTCCCAGAGGAAGGTCAGGGCTATTGGAGAGCCTGGAACAAGACAGGACCACCCAGGAACAGGTCTAGGGTGAGACTTGAGAGAACACTGATGTGTAGGCAGGGTGAGGAGGCCTTTCTCAGAGTCAGAGGCCAGATCCTCCCAAGAGAGGAAGAGTAGACTTCCAAGCTGCAGCCCACAGACAGTCTGCACCCGTGGCTATGAGCCTTTTTCTCAGAAATTCTTAAGGAACATCTAAGAACCATAACGGAGGACTGCAGAGGTAGCTCCACCTGTTGAATGTTTGGCCAGCATGCACAAGGTTCTGTCCCCAGTACTGAAAAGCAAAAGCCTGTGTTGCTTAGGCTCTTTGGCCTCAGCAAACAGACATGGGTGTGTTCTGCAGAGAGCAGAATGTGACATGCTAGTCTTGTCAAACAGCCTATGGAATGGTTGTGTGTATTGGCTATGCTGTTTTTATGTCCTGAAATTTTAGCACAGATGGCTCCCAGTTGGGTGAGGTGAAAGCTAGGTGCTGCCCTGCCTGTTGAAGCCAAGCAGGAGCACCTGTGTCTGCCCTTCTGGCTCTGCTTGGCTCAGGGATCTTGCTTCCATCCCATCTAGAACTCCGTGGGGTAGGGCTCTGAGGGTAGCAAGGCCCTAGTTCTGTGTGGTGACTGCTGCTTGCCACAGAGCACACCTGCACCACTCACCGGAAACAGAGGCAGGTGGATCTCTGTGAGTTCAAGTCCAGTCTGGTCTACAGAGCAAGTTCCAGGCAGGCTCCAAAGCTACAGAGAAACCCTGTCTTAAAAAACCAGTGGGAACAAAGGAATCCTCTGCTGGTGCCTGGTCTCTTTCCAGTGGCTTCCTGGAGTCCTTCTTGCTGTCTTTTTAAAAACTTCGTTGTTTTTGTTCTTATTACGCCGGTCTCATCCCTCACACCCTGCTCTCCAGTTCAGACTGCAAGCTGCCCTTGTCCCTTCCACCTCCATTCTGTGTGTGCAGAAGCCAGCACTGAACTGGACCTTCTTCCTTATCTCCACCTTGCTTTTCACTTTAATTTTTTAAAATTTAGTTTTACTTTATGTGCATTGGTGTTTTGCTTGCATGTAAGTCTGTGTGAAGGAGTCAGATCTTCTGGCACTGGAATTATAGACAGCTGTGAGCTGCCACATGGTTGCCGGGAATTGAACCCAACCTCCAGAAGAGCAACTAGTGCTCTTAACCACTGAGCCGTCTCTCCAGCCCTCGTTTTTACTTTTGAGATTATAATTGCATCATTTTTCTCTTCCCTCTCTACCCTCCAAACCCTTTCATCTTCCTTTCTTGTTCTCTTTCAAATGCACGGCCACTTTTTATTATT